TTACACACCATATGCAGTACTCCAAATATTACAACAAGATTAGTGTTATTCCAATAATAAAACCCTCTCATAAGAGGTTACATTTACATTGCTACAAATGTAGCAATAGGTGACGAACTGTAAAAACTATGTAATGATTAAATGTAATTATTCTACAGGATATTCCCCATGATGAATGATGCTTGTTAACAACGAGAAGAATGTGAAAAGTCTTAGTAATAGCTGGGTAATAATTTCGTGTTGAAATTAATATACCATGGCATTAACAGCATTAATTACAACAAAGAAAAAAGGTCTAGGAAATACTGTTTTCCAAATGTGGCAAAATAGTATATAAGGAAAAAAACGGCCGAAGATTCCAACCCAGGGACTCTTATTTTCTCAACAGTAAAGGTAAAGAAAAGATAACTGTATTTTCTTTCTCAAAACCTAAAGAAAGTAGTAAATATAAAATTCCTTTTACTTTCATAGATTTTCAAATAAATCCACACCACAATACATTTCCTTTGACAGGCCACAGTAACTCAATCAATGGATACTTTCCCAAATACATTAATATTCAGTCAACTTTAACAGTTCTACTCACTATGACATCTTATTACATGTAATATAATAATGAACTTGTGGCACTGTTTTTCATACTATAGAAAAAGAGAGATTTGAAATACATCCAACTAAGATAAAAATGTGCAATACAACTAATGTGTATATCAAACAATATTCTATGACAAACTAAGCATTTTCTAACCCTATTAAAATGAAGAATTTTCTCTCTATATTAATCCTCTCTTCAAAATAACTAAAATCAAGATGATGATTTAAAAAATGTAATTTTACTTTTCTTTACAACAACTGCTGCTGCTACTACAACTTACTACTACTTACTACTACTACTACTACTACTACTGCTACTACTACTACTACTACTACTACTACTACTACTACTACTAACTACTACTACTACTACTACTACTACTACTACTACTACTACTACTACTACTACTACTACTACTGCTGCTACTACTACTACTACTACTACTACTATACTATACTATACTGCTTCTATTATTATTATCACTATTACTATTACTATTACTACTACTACTAATACTACTACTAATAATAATAATAATAACACTTATGATAATTACAATAATAATGATAAACATAATAATAATAATAATAATAATGATGATAATAACAATAATGATGATTATCATAATAATAATAATTATCATAATAATAATAATTCCAAAGACTTGGAATTACAGGAATAATGACAATAACACAATCCTAAAAATACGTCACAAAGTTATGGTAAATGATGGTTACCTGTGACTCATTTACAATAAAGAACCCACTATGTTATTTTGAAATTACATTTTTTCACAATATCTTATATACAACCAATTACATTTTTTTCACCTTAGCCATTTAGTCTATTAGGAAAATGTATAAACAAAGATGGTATTACACAGTAATTACTTTTCTCACCTTAATTTCATGCAAAACACCTGAATATCCTTTAAAACTTCTCAAATCAGATGCATCTACAATCAATACAGGCTAATCTTTAATTTCTTTTCCTCAAACCTGATTGTGAATCATACACATGAAATACAACAACAGCTGTTTGAAGGACACTTATGGATAATATGCTTTTTATCAAGGTTAACCATACAAAGGCTTCCATTTGGTAAGACAGATAAAGATCTTCCTGGGAATATAGAGTGAGAAACAAAACCAAAGTAAGGTTCTTCATCGTCTTCAAATAAACATGCCTAATCCTCTCCACATGACACTCACAATGTTGAAATTTTGAACATGACTGGAAAAAGCTAAAAAGATGAGCATTATTTGCCCTCTGCAAGGCAATAAAATATATTTTAAAATTTATTAATTCTTCACAATTAGTTATATTTAGTCACCTTTTTCTCCCCAGACAGTATTTTGTATCACAGAAGAAAGAGAAACAAATATAAGTTCCAATCACAAAGAAGCCAGGCAAAACAAAGAAGAATCTTTAACCACATGCTGTATGTATGTTTTTCTTATTTAGCATCGCTAATGTTTAGGGAAAAAGGTCCATAGGAAGGGTCCTATTCCTAATGTAATAATTAACCAAAGGTATCAATAAAAGAAAACAAAGGATAACTTAACATGGTAATATACATACACATAAGAATAAATATGTGTCTAAATATATGAAGATGAACATACATGCATGTGTCTATCTAGAAAGTTTGGTAACTGTACAAACATACACACACCTTACATTTCTTAACTTTTTCGCAGTGATGTGTCATATTAAAATACAAATGTCCCATCAATTCTTGCTTTGTTAATGCAGAGAGAGAAATAAGATAACGTGGATCCTTGTATTTGGACACAGCAAAAAATGCACAAAGCATAAGGAGTATCATATGTATCTATTGTATAAATATGAGCAATGTGGGTACACACTAACAATGTTAGGTCCCCACTTTTTAAGAAGAAGCAATGACAAACAGTTGAAACAGTAGTAATATATACTTCAATTTCTATACAATATATGTGCAACTCACATCAGTTTCTATCTGAGTTGCTAATTTAAATTTTCATCTCTCTATGGTGAATGAGCAAAAAGTCAATTCTTTATGAACGCTGCTTATGCCCTTCAGCTGAAATAGGTTCATTCAGCACAAACCTAATCAGGGTGGAATGACAGCCTCATGCCTTGATAATCAATACATAATATTTTTTATGATCTTTTAATTCAGTGTCCTTAATAACAATGCCCTTTGGTATAATCTAACTTGTGCCACTCCTACGAGTTGGTAGTCATGCTATTCTGCTTGAAGAAAAACTGACTGACCAAGCCCTTCCATGCAAACCGTTGTTCATTCACACAACCATTCACTCACTTCCCTTTCTCCTTGCCACTTTTAATCATCCTCTTCTCTTTGCCCCTTTCACACACACACTACCCAGTAATTATACAATAATTCAGGTATCCTCAGAACATTACAAAACCATTGCCTCTGCCCCTAGACCTACAATATAATCCAACTTTTTAGAATGCCTGCTAGGACTAAGACACTTAACATGGTATGAATAGTTTATCAGGACATAACATAATCATATTTACAGAGATGAGATAGGACTATGATATAAAACATTCAGCTGATGAATATCATTTCTATTTACATGCAAAATGTGGATGGAGATATTAGGTGAATTTCCAGGTACTTTTTTTAGAGGCTCCAAATGGAGAATACTTATAAAGTGTGACCTTAAATGTATATACTCTGTGTACATGTATCATATGATTTATTATTACTTTTCTTTTATTTATTTTTATAATGTGGAAGCTAATAAGTTATTCAGAACATATTGCAGTACAGTTTTGTAATTTGATAGCTATGTGGGACTAGAAAGAAGAACTAATACAAACTGAACCAATTAAACAAGCTTACATGTAATCTACTTTTTTCTTCTTCAAGGACAATAATTTCCTCTTTTTTCTGACAAAGTTAGCCATCACTATACAAATAGCATCCACCAGTAAATAACATGAAACCTACATAAGTGTTGGGTTTCTTTCCCTAACACTACTATTAATACAGAGCAAAAAATATACTGATTGGAATTTCCCTTAACATTATTCAAATCTGAACTTCAATATTCTAATGCTAAGTATGCAAATACCTTAAACAAGAATTAACTAACACAAGTTATACAACCAAAATCAATGTAACTACTTCTTTTCAAACTATTCACTTTTATAACTTTTACTTGAAAATGAAAAAGAAAAAACATTTACTCAAACCTGAAAAAGTGACAATGTTTTATTACTAGTTCTTTAACTTCTCTTTTTCCAGATTTGAATAATCTAAGGTAACTATCCTTATACATATAACCTGTTAATCATCTACTCAATCACAGCTAGTTCTGAAAGTGTCCCATCCCCATTATCAATAAGAGTGCCCTCTTCCATAGTTACGCCTAAAATTACACCCTGTCCACCCAAAACACTGTCATCTGCCTGACTGTCAGAGGACCCTAAGACAGTTGTGATGCCTGTCTGACTTGTCGAAAGCTGGCTCTTGAGTGCCCGTGCTAACACTGATGAAGATTTCTGAGCCCCCTTGAGGGAATTCAGCGAACTCGTAGGGATGGCGACTGATAGTGTGGACGTAGTGACAGCCAATTGATGCTGTGATGACTTGGAATTCAACTGAAGTAATTTGCTAAGTTCTAACTGCTGAAAGTTATCAGATTTTAGTTGTACAAGATTCATCTTACCATCATCTACAGACAAATCTTGCCTTTGATCTGATTTTACTAAAGCAGTTAATTTACCTTCTAGAGGTTGTGAGAGAAGTAACTGACCACTGGGAAGAGCCTTCAGAGCAATTTTTCCACTGCCCCCCGCCACAAGACCAGATAAGTTTATACTTGAAATTGTAGTTGTACCTTTCGTGGATGTTGATGATCCTCCTTTAATGATCTGTCCAGTGACAGCAATTTGGTTGTTAATATTGGTCACAGGCATCGTTCCACTCACCTGAATACTGCTTTCTGTACTAGATGACTTACTTAGTTGAGATGCCATAGTGCTTGACAAAGTTCTATTGTTATTATTCAAAAGTTGAGCAGTAGGACTTCCTCCAGATGAGATTTGGTTGGCTGGTACCTGCAACACCTCCCCTGTATTTGTTGTCACCGCTGTCATACTCTCATTCTTATGAGAATGAGAGCAGTGGGTTTTAAGTCCCTGATTTGTACAATAACTCTTCCCACAGTAACATCTATATGGTTTCCTAACTCTGAAAAGAGAAATGATGTATTGTTAAAAGGACTAAAATAGGAATAATTTTCAACTGTAATCTGAAATCAAATAGATTTCAACAAAATTGTAATATTCATCAATTCTGTACTCATGACACATTTTCCAAATCACATTAGCAGTGAAGTCTATTACTCACTTGCTATCTTTTTTATGGGCATTTTTGGCATGGTATTTTATGCCATTCACATTCTTGTATCTTTTCCTGCAACCAACTACTGGACAGATGTAAGGTTTATCCTCCCCATTGCTACTGGAATGACCCCTGAAAAATGAGGAGAACCAATTAAAACAAATACTACCATTATAATGCTAAGATTAACTGTTTGATCCAGGAGCTTTGTGCTAGGAGTGTGGACCAAAATCCAGGCAAAATCTGTCACTTGCCCCATAGCCATTTCATCCCCCATGACAAATTGCTCATGTTTCCTGCCCCTAAGCCAATTTTTTTCATGATAAGCTATCTATGTCACCTGGATCCAATAAGTCAGTACAACTACAAATAAAAATAATTAAAAAAAAACATCAAAATTAAACTGTCCATAAAAAAAATTCAGAATATGCTACACATATTCCAATCTATTAACTTTACTGATAATTATACTATCTGCATTTGAAACTGTTATACAATAATATCCAATTTCTAAAAAAAAAAAAAAATCAGTAACATACTTGCTCGCAAGTTTGATGATTACTTCAGCAGGAATCTCATCTTGTGTAGTCCATGAGTCATTGCTATCCTCGTTCTCACTCAGCAGCGTCTCCTCACAATCACTTACTGCAAAACAAACTCTTATTTCTCACTCCACTCACTAACAGAATACTTCCCATGTGGTACACACTATATTAGGAGAAATTTATTATCTAAACAGCACAATAGAACCTTTTTTGGAAGTTACCTGATTTCAGTCCATTTTAGAGATTCTAGTATTACATTTTAAACAATCTAGTGTTTTCCTAGCGGAATGAATAATGCAACCTCAACCAAGATTAACTCTAGCAAAGATGGTGCTTGAGGTTACACTAAAATTTTGTAAAAATAAGATTTGTTTTTACTAGCTTCTGACTCCAATACTAAGACTCTGTCCCTAGCCCATTCAATCACACCCAAAGTTTTCTGCTTGATGAGGGTCTATATGCATTACAATAGATCAGGAAAGCCAAAAAAGAACAATGGTCAGTGCATACCTCTGTGCATTAAAGGAAGTTGGTCAACTACTAATGCAGAATAAAAAGACAATGAGGTTTCTACGTCAATCCAAAGAGTGGGGTATCACCTTCAGGTTAACTGCCCCAAACAGGTGAAGGGACTCACAGCTCTATACAATTCACAAACCTAACAATACATGGTCTAGTGCTGGAACCACAACCTAGTGACCCTCTTTACAATTTTTTTAGCAAGCACATGCACATTGCACATGCATACACACACACACACACACATGAACACACACATACGCTCATAAAAAATGCTGTTACGATAATTTCATATATTCTGCATACTGACTAAGTGGAAAGACCTAGTGGTTACCCAATATGAATATATTCAAGATGTAAAGTACATGTTAAACTGTAAAGCAAATGCATACTAGAATTTTACAAAATGTTTCCAATATATAAAATAACTTCCATGTTCTATGAAAAGACTATTCCAAGAATGACAAGCAGCCTTGCCACACCTTAGAGAAATGTATATATAATAATACAGATTTCTGAATGTCATTCGTACAAAGATGTGTGTGTTTGTGTGTATATCTGTGTGTGTGTGTGTGTGTGTGTGTGTGTGTGTGTGTGTGTGTGTGTGTGTGTGTGTGTGTGTGTGTGTGTGTGTGTGTGTGTGTGTGTGTGTGTGTGTGTGAGTGAGACAGTGAGTGAGACAGTGAGTGAGTGAGTGAGTGAGTGAGTGAGAGTGTGTGTGAGTGTGAGTGAGAGTGAGTGAGTGAGAGTGAGTGAGTGAGTGGAGTGAATAAAAGTGAGTGAGTGAGTGAGTGTGAGTGAATGAGTGAGCTGTGTGTGTGTGTGAGACTGAGTGTGAGTGACTGTGAGTGAGTGAGTGAGTGAGTGAGTGAGTGTGAGTGAGTGAGTGAGAATGAGTGAGTGAGCGTGTGTGTGTGTGTGTGTGTGTGTGTGTGTGTGTGTGTGTGTGTGTGTGTGTGTGTGTGTGTGTGTGTGTGTGTGTGTGTGTGTGAGTGTGAGTGGTGAGGTGTGGTGAGTGAGTGAGTGAGTGAGTGAGTGTGAGTGAGTGTGAGTGAAGTGAGTGAGTGAGTGAGTGAGTGAGTGTGATGTGTGTGTGTGTGTGTGTGTGTGTGTGTGTGTGTGTGTGTGTGTGTGTGTGTGTGTGTGTGTGTGTGTGTGTGTGTGTGTGTGTGTGTGTGTGTGTGTGTGTGTGTTGTGTGTTTGTATGAGTGTGTGTGCACATGCATACATTCTTTATCTTTCTTTTTATCTATCTACTTCTTCATTTATATAAACAATTAAATTAATCAATCAATTGATTAATCAATTAACATCAAAAACAAACAAATAAATAAATGAATAAAAGACTAATAAATATAGATAGATACACAAACAGATCTACAGATAAACTTATACGTATATACACAGATGAAGAGATGATTACCTATCAAAGGCTTAGCTGATTGTTAGATATTGAGGAAAGTGGGGGATTTTTTCCTCTTTTGCGGGCAGACAACTTAAAGAGAAGAAGCACGACTTTCAGGTCTATGAGGAGGGACAAGTGACCAAGGCAAGAGAATCTTGAGAGATGTTCTAATAATTTGCTTAAGGAAAGAGGTGACTATTTCCCTACAAGGCAAGTGTAAAGCATACAACACAACCACAGGTAAAGAAAGAATGACTGCCAGAGGAAGTCCCTGTGAGTAGGTCAACCTTCATTCAATCTTAGCAACCTCGGGCTCAGCTGATAATATGAGCCTCTGTGTACAGCCCACTAACCTGGAGGGCTGTTACTGAGCGCGCTGACGGGGGTGCTCTCTCGCGTGGAGGATGGTGTGCCCACACTGGAACCTCCCACGCTTGAGCCTCCTCCGCTTGAGCCGCCCGAGGCAATCCCTCCCGTGCTCTAGAAGGAGTCACACCTTTTTGGGCCACTTGGTAATCAAAATTGGTTTGTATTCCCCTCAAAGTCTGTCTCTATATTCATTTCCACTATATTTCTATTACTTTGTTACCTGATGGTCCTCCAGTCACAATCCTCAGCTTCTGGATAAAAACACTAAACTCACTTATAGTTTCAGTGCTAATCATTCTCTGCACTGATACAATGCAAAATTAGATTCTTCTTAACAGAATAATTGATTTCATCTACAGCTGGTGATAGTGATGATACTTTTGTGATTTATGATACAACACTGCAATACAACATTCATCATCATAAAATTAAACCTGCCTTTCTCAATCAAACTTGACCATTTACTACCTGCATACTTACCTTGTTCATTCTTCATCATAAAATAAAGTATATCACAATCCACTTCTCTTTTGCTTTTCCCTTTTCTTCTCTTCTCTTCTCCCCTCTCTCTCTCTCTCTCTCTTCTCTGACCCTCTCTTCTCCTGCTCCCTCTCATTCTCCTACTCCCTCTCCTGCTCCCTCTCATTCTCCTGCTCCCTCTCATTCTCCTCTTCATTCTCTGCTCTCTCTCATTCTCCTGGTCCCTCTCATTCTCCTGCTCCCTCTCATTCTCCTGCTCCCTCTCATTCTCCTGCTCCCTCTCATTCTCCTGCTCCCTCTCATTCTCCTCTCCTCTCCCTCTCATTCTCCTGCTCCCTCTCCCTCTCCCTCTCATTCTCCTACTCCCTCTCCCTCTCATTCTCCTGCTCCCTCTCCCTCACCCTTTCATTCTCATGCTCCCTCTCCCTCTCCTTCTCCTGCTCCCTCTCATTCTTCTGTTCCCTCTCCCTCTCCTTCTCCTGCTCCCTCTCCCTCTCCCTTACCCTCCCCCTCTCCCCTCTCCTTCTCCACTCCCCTCCCTCTCTCTTTCCATTCTCTCTCTTCTTCTCATTCTCTCTCTCTCTCTTTCACATCTCTCTCTCCTCTCCTCTCACATCCTCTCTCTCTCATTCACATTCCTTCTCTCTCATTCACATCACATCACATTCCCTTCCTCTCTCATTCACATTCCCTTCCTCTCTCATTCACATTCCCTTCCTCTCTCATTCACATTCCCTCCTCCTCCCTCCTCACCCCCATCTCTCTCTCTCTCTCTCTCTCTCTCTCTCTCTCTCTCTCTCTCTCTCTCTCTACTCTCTCTCTCTCTCTTTCCTCTTCTTCTCTTCTCTCTCTCTTTCTCTCTCTTTCCCTCTTCTTCTCTTTCCCTCTTCTTCTCTTTCCCTCTTCTTCTCTTTTCCTTCTCTTTTCTTCTCTTTCCCTCTTCTTCTCTTTCCCTCTTCTTCTCTTTCCCTCTTCTTCTCTCTTCCTCTCTCTTCTCTCTTCTCTTCTCTTTCTCTTCTTTTCCCTCTTCTTCTCTTCTCTTCTCTCTTTCCCTCTTCTTCTCTTTCCCCTCTTCTCTTTCCCTCTTCTTCTCTTTCCCTCTTCTTCTCTTTCCCTCTTCTTCTCTTTCCCTCTTCTTCTCTTTCCCTCTTCTTCTCTTCCCTCTTTCTCTCTTCCTTTCCCTCCTCTTCCCTTTCCCTCTTCTTCCCTTTCCCTCCTCTTCCCTTTCCCTCCTCTTCCCTTTCCCTCCTCTTCCCTTTCCCTCCCTTCTTTCCCTCTCTTCTCTTTCCCTCCTCTTCTCTTTCCCTCCTCTTCTCTTTCCCTCCTCTTCTCTTTCCCTCCTCTTCTCTTTCCCTCCTCTTCTCTTTCCCTCCTCTTCTCTTTCTTCCTCTTCTTTCCTCTTCCTCTTCCTCTTCCTCTCTTTCTCTTTCCCTCTTCTTCTCTTCTCTTCCTCTCTTTCTTCTCTTTCCCTCTTCTTCCTTTCCCTCTTCTTCTCTTTCCCTCTTCTTCTTCTTTCCCTCTTCTTCTCTTTCCCTCTTCTTCTCTTTCCCTCTTCTTCTCTTTCCCTCTTCTTCTCTTTCCCTCTTCTTCTCTTTCCCTCTTCCTCTTCTTCTCCTCCTTCCCCTTCTCTAGCCTCCAGGCTAGTACAGTGGTAACATGTCAGCTTCTCATCCGAGGGGTTGGCGGTTCGCACCTGGCCCAGGCGCGAGAAGTTGCAATTG